TTGTTGTTGACCCTGCTCTGACAGATATTTTCATTTTACAAACTCGGCACTCAGCTTTGCAGTCTCCATTATCACTGAAATGCATCCAGATGCTGCTTCTTTTTCGGTTTTCGGACATTTCCTCCGTTTTTCCCGACGCGCTTGCTTTTAACCTGGCTCCCCGTCTGTGTGTACCTGTCCTGTACTACCACTACACTCGCTGTCTGAGCGTCTGGCCCCGCCCCCTTACGTCTTTCACACAACAGTATGAGTCTAGTCTGTCCTCGCACGTGATTGGTCGAATGGTGCGCCCATAAAAATAGTCTCGCTCTTCTGTGCATGGATTGTCAGCAGAGCTGACCAATAGCGGCTGAAGATTCGGCTCTCCCCGGCGGGAGTTGGCTCTTCTCGTTCCCTACAAAGCATCGGCTCTCAGAGCCGGCTCGTTCGCGAACGACATATCACTAATTTCATCAAAGTAGATACCTTTTCAACATTTGTTGACAGGTTACACTGTTATATGTTTGTGACCTACTAGTTTTAGTTTGTACGCCAGGTAACTAACGCCACCACACAGATATTAGCACGTTGATGTGATTATTTTTCTTAGGATCATGCTTAAAACTTGAATTTTTGTAATTATGTGTTGAATGCCAAGCAGTAGTGATGGGCAGATGAGGCGTCATGAAGCGTTTCGACACATTGCCAAACTGTATTGATACTGTGTCACTGAATACTGACACCTGCTGGACCTTAAAAATCTCTACAGGCAACCTAGTTGACAGACTCAACTGACACTGATTAGATGACCTAGTATATACAATAATATAATTTAAGTCATTGTATTTTATATTGTATTATTTCATATCTTCATTTAAATTTAAAATTTCCTTGATATTTTTAGATAGTCAATAAATAATGTGAACATGTGTCATAAGGTGAAAATCTAAATGAAACGTGTTGAGAATGAGGACGCTTGTGGACTGGGCTTTTTTTGTTATACATTTTTATTCAAAAAATACGTTTTTGAGTCCGTTACGCTTTTTTGATACAACTTCTCCAGCTGTAGAAAACACCCACTCACACGGTACAGATGAGGCTGAATTGCAGAGAAATTGTAAGGCAAGTCGGAAGAGGTTTGGATAGATTGCCTTTTGGTTGTCCCAGTATCTCATAGGATCCTGGGACCTGGCAATACCTTATTTTCCGATATGAGATCAAAATGGTCCCACACGGCGGAAACCTTTCTTTTGGCTTGAGGCTCCTCCATAATTCTTGATGAATGTGACGATGAACCGCAATAGATCAGAGATTCGTTTTGGCAGATGCATCCCGTTGACATATGCGCTTCCTTATAAACACAGTTTAGCGCGGCAGTGTCAGTTCGAAACAGTTCCTGTACCGGTCACGTGACTTTCTTAAAGCGATACGCGCACCTACACGGGGTTTTGCTCTACGAGCTCGAACGCATGTGGCGACGCATTGGTGTTACCGGACCCATCACTACCAAGCAGTTACAGAACCGAAAATGGGTTTCAGATATTGTTACGGATTAATGTGAAAAGAGCAGTAACAAACCTAACGTTACATTAACGAAGGAGAGGAGACCATGACAGACTACATACAAACGAGAGGTCAGTGAGGCAGAGAGACTATTTTCCATGGTGTATTTGGAAGAGTACTAAGTTTGCACTTTTTGATGCCAGACAAGCCACTCATTGTTACCTATCTTTCCATAGCTCTTCCTGGACTTGATTCATGATGGACATGCATGGTGAACAGTGCTTCAGTTTACTTGGTTAAATTAAAAATGCTGTGCTTTTAGATGAGAGGTTAAAACTTCTAGGTTCTGGAAAATGATTCAATCATGCAGGTTGACACTTTGTGTTGCTAAAAGTATTTAACATGTTTAAAATGACCTTGTTAACCTGCTGATCCTTGTAAAATATCCTCACAAATGTGGATGTTTGTTTCAATCATGCAGTTTGTATCATGTTTTGTCTCCTGATAACTGATATGTTTGCTAAAATGTTTATCCTGGGTGTTGAGGCTGTAGCAGACTCCTTTTAGGATTACGATGCCTCACTCCTATCACGATCAGGATCAAGGCAAGAACAGTCATGTGTATGTATATATATATATATATATGTATATACACACACACACACAATATATACACAGTTTGCCCTGTGAATCTGAATTTAGCTCAACTTTATTGGTCTAAATGTGATCCCTAATCAAGTATCATTTTGTGTGGCAAAAATGACTTATCTGGTATGTACACTGACTTGGACTCGAGGCATAGAACTTTTCTCCTCACAAACGTGAATATAAGCTATGCAAATGTGACGTTAGACTGCAGTAACAGTCTGGTTCAGCAAAACTGGGGTGACAAGTAGTGATAGAGGGCACATGCATGAACTGTAAGTCATTATTAGAGGTAGCAAAATTCCATAGTGAGACTAAACCAGGGTGTGACATTTGCCTTTGGGTAACACCACCTAGTAGTTTTTGTCTAGATCTCATTTCACCCCACCCATACATGTTTGGGGTTCTCAGTTTTAGTACTGCATGCTCCTAAACTAGCCCTTTCTCATTTTCAGGTTCCTTATGTGCAGGCACCCACCACCAACTACCCTGACATTCCTTCAGACATGTTCAGTCTCCACTAGCCCCATCTTGTGATTCTCGTGTATTACATACACTTAAATATGTGAAATTGGAACATGTGGACCTTTTTAACCCATAGTCATTTCATAGCACTCGCCCAAAATCTGAAGGTATTTCCATCCACACACCACAGACTAACAATGCAGAATCAAATATAATCAGTTTCAGTCCAGGATATTTTTATTTTTTTTCCAGTTTCTTGGGTTAAAAACTTTTGAGTTGAGTAAAGGTCCCAACATGAAGTAATGTCATCTCACCTTGTGTGTTAAAGTCAAGCCACTTTCACACACATACACCCACAAAAAATGGTATAATTTACTGTTGCCATCTTCGTTTATATGAAAAGAATGGCTATAGCCAAGAAACTGACAAAATTTCTATTTTTCCTGGGCAGAACTGGATTATTTTTAATTCCCCATAATTACTAGACTACAAGGATTCAGGAAATACCTTCAGAATGTGGGTGTTATGAATGAATGAATATTTAAAAAAAAAAACTGCATGTGGCAAGTCTCAATTTCACACATTAAAAGAAGATTCTCTATGACTCAGGTGTATACAAGTCACAAGCGGGGGCGTGTCTCCACAGGGACCAGGCTCAGTTGCCCTCTTACAAACTGCTCTGCTACCAAACCTGCTGCACTCTGAGGACATGGAGTGCATGTACAACTAAACATTTCTGAAATTATTTTGCATTGAATCATGAGTAGTGAAGTCTTTCGCAATTTTTGGTTTCAATATTTGAGTTTGACTTGATGGCAACAAATTAATGCTTTTTACTTTTACTGCTTTTCAATACTAACATCATTCTACATTATACACTGCCCAGACACCTGCATAATTGTATGTGCTTCAATGCAACATTTCGGCCTTAACATCTGTTTATGAAGCGCAAAATGTTTGTTTTTGGTGAAATTGTCAAATGTATAAATTCAATTATGTTTATTATTGAGGTCATACTTAAAGGTGGTGGTGTACTGGACTACATGATATTCAGAAGTGTGCCCAACATTCTGACCCCCTCATGTATGTGGCAGGGGAGAAAAAATATATATAATGTAGTCCAGTACAACACCACCTTTAACTATGACCTCAATAATAAACTGAATTTAAACATTTATAACAGCGTTACCAAAAAAACATTTTAAGCTTTACAAGCGCATGCATGTCAAGGTGGAAGTGTTGCATGCAAGTGTGCAGGTGTAGCTAATGAAGTGGCCGGGCAGTGGTTACTGTAGAACAATGTTAATATTCTTGAGTAAAACAGAGGCGGTTTATGTTCTATACACAGTTTATTAGGTACATCTGGCTAAAGCTAAGTCTGTCAAATCTAACAGTCCTACTATAAATCCTCAAACAAGGGTTTTAGCTGGTGTACCTAATAAATGGATTAAGTGTAAATTATGTATAAAAAATTACAACATTGCTAATAAAATCAAGTCATAACGTCTAACGGATGTAAAGGAGCACTATATCATTTAGGGGATGTCCTGTGGACTTTATTTTTTGCAGGGAAATTAGAATTTATGATTTGAAATTGACTAAAACATGGGCAGGATGATTAAACCCTGTGTACTTTGTACTTCCATCAACTGAGGCCTTGGTCATTTGTTTTGACAACCTTTACCAGACTTGACCCAAATGTTCAGGAAAAGTAAGACCTGTATCGGCAGAGAGCTTGCTGTTTAGAAAGAGAAAAAGAGATGCATTAATATCAACAGTACAGAACAAGACACTGCAGATATTTGTAACTTAAACATAATGAAAATATGATTTATTTGACCAACAATTCTCAACGGTCATTTACTTCAAACAATATGTATTCAACATTATATACACATTTACACTTTGTTACACTTCATCAAAATGGCAATTTCACCACTTGTAGTAGATGAACCTGGATGTATTTAATGAATACATTCCAAAACAAATATGTACAATACATAATTATAAGTATTAAACCCTTGGTAGCATTGCTCCAAATAATGGAGCCACTGTAGGCAGAAGAATGCTGCATGAGCTACAGATAGTATGTAGAGCTACAGATGTTGTGGAGCATTGGTAAAATGTAATCACGTATACCATTTGTTACCGATACTACCTTTAAAAAATACCAGGCCATGTTGGCGGCAGCTTGACCAGCCTCTTCACCTTCCACCAGCAGAATCCACTTTAGCATAAAGAAAAATAGGTGGCGCTAAATGAAAGTATTCTGTTGTACAGTGGTGCAGGTTCACAAAGAGTGATTCTTATCAAAACAAAGTATGCAGATACATCTCTGCTTCCATGGATTTGTGTTTCCACTTTGAAAGCTGATTCAGTAAAACTCTCTGTGGACCTTCACCTTTATCTTAACATCTTAGCATTCAGGATTCTTTTAGTTACATGCTAACTAAATCAAATAATTACCTACAACTACAAACCATAAACAAAATAAATGATAAAAGTACTGAAACTCCACTAACTGGGCAAGAGAAATGTATTAAAATAGAAGTACTAAGGTTGCTGTTGAACGTCTCAAGCCTGTGAAAAACAACAGTAGTCTTTTCTTGTCTGATCCTTACCATGGAGTCAAGCAGATAATGGTGTTCAGAAAGCCACTCATCCCGCATGGTGGATCAACCATTACCTAGAAGAAACTGTCAACAAGGTTTAGCAGTAACGTGTACTCAATCCATCATCATACAGTAACACATGCACATTCAGCAGTTCTTAGGTAATCTTAACTAACTCAGTGTTCATCCACCCTCAACAAGTTCAGTACTCTGAACCATATCAAGTTCAGTCTCAATATCTGAAAACAGAGAGAAGTACTTGACCCTACATTTTGAGTGATGTGCTTGCACTCTCTGCACACTTAGTGCAGAACTCCACTGAGACATGGTTCTTGTCCACGTGCAGACACACGCCACCAGATGTCTCTTTTTCCTCCACGTTCACACTCTTCCTGGGTAAGGCATAGTCATGGTCGTTGGAATCACACCCCTGGAAAAGCGAGGAAGATAATTTCATCCCATTCACACCGCTCAGCCTGGACAAGAGCTGGGCTAACATGCTCTCATTGGCCAGCACAGCCCTCAGGTACCTGGTCTCATCTTCCAATTCTTCTACTCTCTTGGTCATCTGAGAATTTTCCTGTTTGAGCATGCTGTTTTCTGTTGACAGGATGCCAACTTTCTTCTCCAAGCTGCTGACATATTCTTTCTTCTTGAGACGATTCAACCTGGCAGCGATGGCATTCTTGTTTATCCCATAGCTTGACTGGTTTTGTTTGTTCTTGATCTTTAAGTCAGATGACATTCTCTCTGGAGACGAGGCTGTTGAAGCTTCAAACCCAGAATCTGGATCCCTGTACACACCAAGATCAGCCAATTCAACATTGAAGAGTGGGGAGCCTCTCTCTCTTTCAAGTGTCCATTTTAAGCCTTCAATTCCAAACAGGTCATCTAGCTCTAATCCAGCGGTGTCAATATCATCAGCTGTGATATCCACAGATGGACTCAGAAAATCTTCGACAGTTTCCACTGTGTTTACCACTTCAAAATCAGGAGACTTCACCTCTGTGTTGTTGACAGAGCGGCCTCTTCTTCTGGTGATCATTATGGTTTGACAGGGCAACTGCAAGGACACTGTGCAGAAGAGGTCTTATAAGTCCCGTTCTTTGTCGCCTGTAGAGACAAAGAAAATATACCATTAGTCTGTAATTCTGCACCAATTAACTGATATATTTATCCACGAACTGTCATTTTGATAATAAATTTAGTTGGTGTAGCACAACAAAGGTTTTTAGCTAAAAACTTAAAACTTGAGTGGAGTTACTTTATTTTGTAAAACAGACTGCAAACAGCTATGTATTTTCACTTTTGACTTGGAACAAATCTGCAATGTCATGTGGACAGTGATAGACTCAATGTAACTCAGATATCACAGTACCAGACATTTGACCCCTATTTTTTTTTTATGTCAGCACAGCACACAACTTTGTGCTGTGCTCAGCTCAGATACATTGTTGGGCCGCACAACACATAGAAATGAATGAGTTCAATAGTGAAGCGCAGCACCCACCTTTCTTATCTGATAGTCCCTTTACCATGAGTGTTATGGTAATTCAGACACCCTATCTGTAGTTTGATTTGTCTCAAATTAATGGCCCAAAATGCATCAAACTAACTTATGTTGGCTCATAAGGCCCTCCCCGAGATGAAGCCATTAATCATGCCTGTGTGTTCTGTCACCACAGAAAAGTGAAATTACTGTAGTGGGTGTCCGAAATACATTAAGTCTACATTAAACTGCCAAGTATGTGTCACTCCTGACACTTAACAGACTAAATGACTGATGTACTGTTAAGTTATTTTTTTACAGTTATGTGGGCTCGGTTGAACTGAAACCTGTGCCCCCATGATCAACCACTTAGGCAATTGTTCAGGTATGTCGGTGACAATAGTATTCGCTGAGCGCTAAACTGGCAACACTGTGATCAAAATACTTCTGAACAAATCCTTCAGACCCTGTCACGCACTTAATATAGCGTGCTCCTGACGTCCTCCATTTTCTAACAGCCACTGAACTAGCTGAGGTGTGATGGCTAAAACGTACTACCTACGTAACTAGCGTTAGCTTGCTTAGCTAGGCCCAATACCACTGCACCATAAAGTGCTTTGCAAGTAATGCTCTAGAATTTACATCCTAAAATTCTTTGCTAAACTATAAATATTGCAAGTGTTAACCTTGCCATTCTTTGCAGCTCATTAACGATAGTCCATTTGACAAAGAACAACAAATGTTATTTGTAATGTTGAGCGCCCTTGCATTAGCTTGCTAACAAGGCCTGAATTAGCTTGGAGGTACCTCATTAACATTATTTAAATATGGCTAAGGTGAATTTAAATGATATCTCCCTTAACATATTAAGTGAACGTTTATTTAACCGGCAGACCCGCCCGATTTTCAATAGTTAGCTTATTAGCGTTAGCTAAAGCCATGAGGTATTTATCAATTGGAGTCGCGAATGACGCAGCATAATATAACGGCACTTCTTCGACCAACAACTTACCGTGCTATGTGGGGAAAAAGATTGAACGAAAGTATGGGACCCTCGATGAAACTACTGGTTTCTGAATGGTTTCTCAAATGCTCAGGACTTGAATATAAAACGCACAACAATGGTGCGACATAATAACCTACGGCCAAGCCAGTGCTGAAGACCAACAACGTCGACCTGCAAATACTCTTCCGGACATTTTCTTCAAAATAAAAGTCCTCCAAATCCTTGGTTCCTCTTTTTCTTGTCTTTGTTTTATGGCAGATTGCGAGCCAACGATTAAGGGGCATACCGCCACCTACTGTATTGGGGTATGAAGAGTCATTGCTTTGAATTATCTGAATTCCAGGATTGAAAAAACTATGTTTAAAACTATCCTATGTACTAATCGTGTCTCAACAATGATTCTAATTAATCCTCTTCTAATTACCATAAATTCTTTCTCTGTGCCCAGTAGTGATTTTAGTAGTTATAAAACATCCCTGTGGCCACAGAAGGCCGAATTCTTCACATTAGGCACCCTTTCAAAACCAATGCTACAATTCAGCTTTAGAAATATTACACTGAAAAAACACAATCATATTCTTTGAGTGGAGAAAAGGTTTTATTGAACATATGTGAGCAAAAGAAAATGTATTACACAAAACCATCCTAGTGCTTATAACAATATCCCCTCTGCCAGGGTTTTCACAACTGTATTAGCAGTGCAAGATGACTTACATGACAACTCTAACTGTAGGCTACATCAGAACAAATTAATCATATCACACTCCTATCTCACAGTCTTGCCATCTGCAACATATGTTTCACAGGATGTGTTAAAAGTCTGCACTAGAGCCACTTTTATCTTAGCCACATATTAAAAACAATGTACAGTGTACATTATGATGGCTTTACATTAAGGCTCAAATTAACAGTTATTTTCAACAAAATTAATGTGCCGATTTGTTATTGTTTCTTAATTAACTAACAAAATGTTTGGTTTATAAAATATGTGAAAAAATGGGTTTTGAAGATGTCACTTTGGCCTCTGGGAAATTATAATCAACATTTTTCATTGCTTTCTGACATTTTCTGACATCAGGTTGTTATTTTACTCCAACAATAAACTGTGTTTAACATTCAAGTTTCTATATATTTGACCATTTTGTGTCTTTTTTGTGTCAAAACATCAGAGATCACAGGTTTAGCCATAGGCCAGCAGTTAAAGGCTAATATTTCACAGTATTAGCTCATGACTCAAAAAAGTTTCAGTCCAGATTTCAGCTTGTTAACATAACTGTGGTTCCAAATAAGGCCTTCAGCCGTTCTCATTGATGCTGAGGCTCCTGGGATGTTGTGTGTTGTGTTGCCCTCTGTCTCCACCGGCTGGTCAGAGACAGTCATTGTTGAGTAGTGTTCCACCATGAAGCATGAAGGGTCATCAGATTGGCCAGGGACTTTACCAAGAGGGTAATTCTTCCACAAAACTTTATCAGCACACACCTGCCATGGAGAACCTTTGAGCTGCTGAGCTTTTTCAGCCTGAACATCTGCCCAGTTGTAATCCTGGGAGGACTTGTTCCTCTCTTGGTCAGCTGTGGAGTGCCAATGATGGCTGTGGCACGGTGAATGCTTCCGCTTCTCAAGCAAACTCTCCAGCGTATATATGGGCTGTTGATTTTGCTCCTGAGAAGGTCCAGAGACAGAGTGTGAGGTCTGAGTGTAGATGGAGCAGAGCTGGAGCAGTTTCTGTTGGGTTTCACCAGGGAGAGGATGCTCCATGTCATTCAGGATTAACTGGAGCAAGTGAGGCGTGGTGACACAGGGAGCATCCAGGCATGCTGACAGTAGCTGCTGCCACCTCAGCTGGATGCGGTTTACAAAAATCCTGCCTTTCATTCTAGCTTTCTTCTGTGCTTTTGTTTCAAAATGGTATTCAAATTTGTTGTTGTTACAGAGGATGACTTCTGAAATCCAAGCAGAAAGGTAGAAAGCCCTGTGATTATTTGTGTCTTTGGTGAGCAGCTTCAGCTCAACAAAGAGCTTCTCCAGAAGGTGATGAATAAACAATGGTGAGTTGAGCAACTTCAGGAGGGGCAGCCAAAAATGCAGGAAGGTTTGAGGAAGTTTGGGTTCAGTGGAACTGGTGTTGACAGATGTGTCACAGCCTAATGCGTCCAGTTGTTCAACAGTAGGAACCAGAAACCCATCCTCCAACAGCACATCAATCAGCAAATCACTTGACTCTGAGGCAAACTGCTTGATCTCACCTAATAACCAGCTCATGTCTACAAAGGGGGAAGGCCACAAGTTCGTCTCTTTGTCTTCAGGAAGCCCATCAAACACTTGGTACTGCTCCTTTTCAAATGATATGAGAAGTTCTCGTGCATTCTTGTAGGCTTCCATTTCTTTTTGCCTTGCAATAAGCTCATCACCAGCCAGCCGCCTCAGTGGTCGGGCTATTCTTCCCTGTTGTCGCTCAGTGATCAAATTGACAAACCTCACTAGGGCGGCTCCATAAAGCAGCACCAGATCATCTCCATCCAGCTGCCCTGACCGGTCCAGCACCTGGCACCTCACCAGGTCCGCTGTGCTGTCCACTGCCACAAGGGTACTATTGGCATACCTGGCTTTCCAAGCTGATATCCTCTGCACTGCATACCTCTGTAAGGCGGAATCCTTGGAGTAAAGATACTCCTGAACCTGATCCCACTCAGCTTTGTTGCTCCATGCTACCACATGACGTTTTTTCTCTGCGCTCTTTTTCTTCATTTTAACGGCGGAAGATGCGCACAGTGGACTTACGTTAACGCGTTAGACTAAAAAGCTGTTAGACTCCGAGAAAATGTTGTCTTTTTACAGTCACTCTCTTAAATCCTTAAAAGAAACTGTTTTTTTAATAGTAGCATAGGCTTAACCCCCTTTCCTAGCTCCCCGTTGTATCGCATCCCGGAAATTGTTCTTCTTCGTGCTCTTCTTCTTATTGTGTTTATTGGCGTTTAGCAGTCCAACCTAGGGTCCATTACCGCCACCTGCTGGGCTGGAATGTAGAACGATAATAGAGCCGCAGGAATATATATTTAAAAAAAAAAGTTCTTAGAACTGCATAAACTACTAAATTCTATCCAAAATACACAAATCTGCCAAATAACAAATTACAATTTTATATGCTGTCTTACAGTTGCTGCCCAAAAGACTCTTTAGTGATATATTAGTAATATTCTTTTTTCCATTAGTGCTATCATACAAGCATGTTGCTCATTATAAGCACTGCATATGAACAGGACATGCTCTGCAGTCTCTACCTTACTACAATGTGGATAAAGACCTGTAGGGTGTGTACCTATTTTGTGCAGGGTATAATTTAAATTTGTGTGACCTATTCTCAAGCGAGTTACTACACTTTCCTCTTTTCTAGTACCAGTCCATGCCTGTTGGTATCCAACCAATTTTTGGACCTTGTACAAATGTCTACCAGTTTCACACCCATCCTACTGTTCTTACCAAACTTTTTGAATATGAAAATTAGTAAGGGATTTCATTTCAGATCTAGGAATTGGGATATGCCTTGTAACTGCATCAAATTTTAAAGACTGTTTTACAGCAGCATCAGCCGCCTCATTGCCATCAATTCCGACATGCGCTGGAACCCATAAAAAGCTAACTGTGACACCTTTCTTATTCATCTTCCACAAGGACACTAATATCTCATTTAATATGTCTTGTCTTGTCTCAGATACACCCGACTTAATACTAGAGAGGGCCAAAGAATTATCAGAACAAATTAATCCCATAGTAACCTTATTTTCCTCCACCCACTGCAAAGCTAGTAGTATTGCAACCAGTTCAACTGTAAATACTGACAAGTGATCAGATGTTCTTTCCCTTATAACTAACTACTCTATGTTAACGAATAACCACAGCAGCCCCTGTTCGACCAGACTCAGAATCTTTGGTTCCATCATTAAATATCATTAATTTATGTCTGTAATATCTGATGTAGGAACATGAATTGTTTTGTCTTTCAGCTCCGCAATAAGGCCTAGATTCACCAGTTGCCTAGAAAACAACCAAGGCGGAGTCTCCAGCCATGAAACAGTTGGACAATACTTCAAATCAAGCAGACCTACTCTCTGGGCCATATTACCCATCCATCCAAAGCTATAAAAGTTGGACTCATTGTGTTCCCAGCAATCCAGTAATAATGATTTAGCAGAATGGGTATTATCATGACTTTGCAGGCTAGTCCAGTAGTGCAACATAAGTTTTAGTCTTCTGAAACCTAAAGGAGCTTCCCCAAGCCCAAGCCCATGCTTAAACTCAAACTCAAACTCAAGCCCAACCTGCTTCTTCTTATTATTATTATTCTGTGACTTAAATACCGGGCTTGAAAGTGATATCTGCCACCTACTTGTACTGGAGTGTAACATCATGACTACGTGGGCTTTATATTCTGGATTTTAGACCTAGACCCGTTTTTTGACATCTATATGAAGTCTTTGAAGCTGTTACTATCTCCTTCAGGCCCTCGATGCTCCATTTCTTTCTTATACCTACCAGTGACATGCGGTCAGGGGAGGCAGCTGAGGCAGAGCCTCCCCTGTCAATCTTGAAAAGAAAAAAAAATTAAACAAAAAAA